ATTCTTTTAGCCTTCTTTTGTCTAAGAAACTCCTCATTCGTCTTCCATTTGAATTGAGAGCCTTGCCAGGTAGAGCAGTCTTGGTTGCAGGCCTTTGCTTTTCATGACTTGGAATATTTCTTGCCATTCCCTTCTGGCTTGTAGTGTTTCTGTTGAGAAGTCAGCTGCCAGCCATACCAGGGCTCCCTTATATGTTATTACCTCTTTCTCCCTTGCTTCCTTTAGGATTCTCTGTTTCTCTTTGATATTTGCCATTTTGATGATGATGTGTCTTGAAGTGGGTCTCACTGGGTTCCTCTTGAATGGGACCCTCTGTGCTTCCTGGGGTCATGTGACTTTTCCTCTCCTCCAGTTAGGGAAGTTTTCCATCATTACTTTTTCAAACAGATTTTCTATCCCTTGCTCCTCTTCTTCTCCTTCTGGTATCCCTATTATATGGGTATTACTATGTTTCAGGTCATCCTGCATTTCCCTCAACTCCTCTTCATTCTTTCTGAGTCTTTTTTCATTTCCTTGCTCTTACTGGGAGCTCTTTTCTACCTTATCCTCCAGCTCACTGACTCAATCCTCTTCTTTATCTACCCTGCTTTGGATTCCTTCTACTGTGTTCTTCAACTCAGAAATTGTATTCTTCATTTCCTCTTGCCTCTTGTTGATAGTGTCTATGTCCTTTTTCATGCTGATATAGTTTTCAGTAAGTTCCTCGTAGTCTCCCTGCAGTTTTTTGTAATTCTCTCTTAGCTCATTGAGTTTCCTTAGAACCATTGTTTCAAACTCAATATCTGATAGTTTGCTTGCCTCTATTTCATTTAGTTCTCTTTTTGGGGATTCCTCTTTTCCCTAGCACTGGAGGATGTTTCTTTGTCTTCCCATTATTTGTGAGACTCTTCTTTTTTGCTTCTGCTCCTTAAATTGATTTGTCTTGATTTCCTGACTTTGTGGTGTGAACTTCTATGGTAAGAGACCACTGTTTTTTCTTTCTGGATCTGCCTCTGATGATGTCAGATGTTGACCCTGTCTGCCCTTAGACAGTCTGTTCGAGACTTCCCAGGATCTACTGTCTGTGGCTGTCTCCTTCAGTTGTTAATCTAACATAAATACATTTTTAAATGAAGTTTTCTAAGTAAAAAAAAAAAAAAAAGCCAGACTCAAAAGCTACTTGTTGTATGATTCCATTTATAAGACATTCTGGAGTAGGCAAAGTGACTGAGACAGAAAGCAGATCAGTGGTTTTCAAGGACTGTAAGTGAAGGGAGGGTTAGTGTGAGGGAGTTTTAGGAAGAAAGAACTGTTTTGTATCTTGACTGTGCTTGTGGTCACGTGACCACAACATGCATTTGTTTGAGCTCATAAAACTATACACCAAAAAGCATGAATTTTACTTTATGTAGAATTTTAAGAGAATGAAGTAGAAGTGAAACAATAAGAAAAGGGATGAGGAAGTATTTCAATGAACTTAGTTGAAAATATTATTAAGTAGAGACATCAAGTACTGAATGGTATAAATTATACACTATCTTTTATCCATGAATGGGGAGGTGGAAAGCTGGATTCTAAGGGGGTCCCCATGATTGCCACCCTTTGTGTACACACCCTGTATAATCCTTTGAGTGTAGGTGGCCCTGTGAATATAATCAGATGTCACTCCTGTGATTGTTATGTTACATGATAAAAGAGAAACCTAATCATATGAGCCCTTTAAAAGCCAATTTTTTTCCAGTGAAATCTGGAGAAAGATATCAGAGAGATGTGCTCTCCCTGGCATAGAAGAAGAAAACAGTTCTGGTGTGAACTGGCAAGAAGCTGAGAGAGGCCTCTAGGAGGTAACAGTGACTCTCCACTGACAGCCAGCAATGAACTAAATGCTACCAAGTGAATGAGCTTGAAAGGGCAATCTGAGCTCCAAAGAAGAATATAGCCCAGCCTGTGCCTTGATTTCAGCCTCATGAGAACCAGAGCAGAGAACAAAGCTATGCCCTGCTGGACTTCCCACTTACAGAACCGTGAGTTAATCATTGGGTATTGTTTTGAGCTTGTGGGGAATTGTTATGCAGCAATAAAAACTAATACTGTATGTACATACGCAAATATATACTTGCTTACATTTTTTAAAAAATAAAAGAAAATATTAAAAACTAATAGAAATCATCAATTATAGGGTGAAAGAGGAAATAAAAGAAAGAAGTAGCACTAATCTGAACATAGCTTACTTTTACGATTTGACTTTAAAACAACGTAAATATTTTAGATTAGCAGTAATAACTTCCAGCCAAGATGGAGGCATAGGTAGATACACTTTGCCTCCTTGCACAACCCAAAGAAGGACAACAACAAATTGAAAAAACAAAAAATAACCAGAACTGCCAGAAAATTGAATTGTATGGAGGTTTGACAACCAAAGAGTTGAAAAAGAAACATTCATCCAGACCAGTAGGGGCGGTGGAGATGAGCAGCCAGGGCAAGACAAGGAGGAAGCTGGAGGGCCTGGTAGGCAAGGTGTAAGCTAGCAGACCAGGCGGTCCCACATTTGTGTACAGATAAACCGGGAGGAACAGCTGGGGAGCAAGACAGACTGCTGAATCCAGGATTTTAGTGTGGGAGAAGAAAGCCTCAAAACCTCTGGCTGTAAAAATCTGTGGGGGCTGTGGCAGCGGGAGAAACTCCCAGCCTCACAGGAGAGATTGTTGGAGAGACCCACAGGACTCTAGAATGTACACAAACCCATCCACCCTGGAATCAACACCAGAAGCAATGCATTTGCTTGTGAGTAACAGGGGAAGTGACTGAAAGCCAGCAGAGAACTAAGCAAGTGGCATTGTTCCCTCTTGGACCCCTCCCCCCAACACAGCGTCATAGTGCAGTAACTTGGGTTGCCTTGTCCTGGCGAATACCTAAGGCTCCTCCTTTTCCAAGGTAAGGGGCATACTGAGACAAAGAAGTATAGCTGAAGTGAAAGAACAGATCAAAGCTACAAATATAGAACTAAGTGATGAAGAGATAGCCAACCTATCAGATGCACAGTTCAAAACATTGGTAATCAGGATGCTCATAGAAATGGCTGAGTATGGTCACAAAATGGAGGAAAAAGTGAAGATCATGCAAAGTGAAATAAAGAAAAGTACACAGGGAACCAACGGTAAAGGGGAGAGTGAAAAAACAAGGATTCAAAAAAATAAGGAGAGGCTTAGGAACCTCTGGGACAACTTTAAATGAAGAAGAGTAATAGCAAGAAATCGAAAACTTACTTGAAAAAATAATGAAGGAGAATTTCCCCAATCTGGCCAATGAAATAGACTTCCAGGAAGGCCAGGAAGCCCAGAGAGTCCCCAAGAAGTTGGACCTAAGGAAGCACACAGCAAAGCACATCATAGTTACATTACCCAAGATTAAAGATAAGGAGAGAATCTTGAAAGCAGCAAGAGAAAAGGAGAGAGTTACCTCCAAAGGAGTTCTCATAAGACTATCAGTTGATTTCTAAAAAACAAAACAAAACAAAACAAAAAACCTTACAAGCAAAAAGGGATAGAAAGAAGTATTCAAAGTCATGAAAGACAAGGACCTACATCCAAGATTACTCTAGCCAGCAAAGGTATTATTTAGAATGAAAGGGCAGATAAAGTGCTTCCCAGATAAGATCAAGCTAAAGGAATTTATCATCACCAAACCCTTATGATATGAAATGTTAAGGGATTTATCTAAGAAAAAGAAGATAAAAAACTATGAACAGTAAAATGACAACAAACTCAAAATTATCAACAACTAAACCTAAAAAAAAAGAAAACAAAACCAAGAACAAAGTAAGCAAACACCTAGAAGAAGAATAGAACCACAGAAATGGAGATCAGAAGGGAGGAGGAGGGGTGTATGGGGGAAAAGGTACAGGAAATAAGAAGCATAAATAGTAGGTACAAAATACACAGGGAGAGGTTAAGAATAGTGTAGGAAATGGAGAAGCCAAAGAACTTATATCTATGATCCATGGACATGAACTAAGGTGGGGGGGGGGAAATGCTGGTGGGAGGGGAATAAAGGGGAGAAAAAAATGGGATAACTGTAATACCATAATCAATAAAACATATATATTAAAAAACAGCAGTAATAATAACAAAAAAGTTGTAGATTAAAATAAATCAATATTAAATTAAAGTTTAAAAAATGAATCCATAAAAATAAAACAAATAATACTAGCTCTATTAAATAATGGTTTAATACCACACAGAAATTACTGTAAATGACTTTAGAGTTCAGTAATTTAATTGTATATCCCCCGTGGAATAATGCCCCAAGTGCAAAAAGCATTGCAAATTTATCTTCAATTTTTTAAAATTTTTAAATTTTTATTTTTTTAAATGATTTTATTTATTTTTAGAGAGTGGAAGGAGGGAGAGAGGGAGAAAAACATCAGTATGTGGTTGCTTCTTGTATGCCCCCTACTGGGGACCTGGCCGGCAACCCAGGCATGTGCCCTACAGTGGGCGTTGAACCTGTGACCCTTTGGTTCGCAGGTCAGTGCTCAATCCACTGAGCTATGCCAGGTAGGGTCAATTCTTTTTTATTAAATTACAAATTTATTAATTTTATTTTTGTATTAATGAAATACAAACTTATTTTAAAATATTACCAAAATCAAATATATTTTCAAATATTTCCTTTCTTTTTTTCAGCACTGACCATTGTGAATTTCTTTGTGTTAATCTGTTTGCTCAATTATTTCCTTTCTTTGATCTTGACTATATACTGTGCCTATATTTTACAAAAGCAAAAGACACAAACAATAAATGTAACGGGAATGTTTATAACAAGCCAATATTAAAATGTCTGGATTACCTCATATCTGGTACATTTCACTTCACAAACATTCAGTCCTTTTTTTCGTAATTACATTATGAAGAATTTTATATTAATATTAATTATATGATTACTACTAATATTATTGTTAGTCAGAAAGTGTTATATACAGTAAGAGAAAGCAAATATTTATTGTATCAAAAAATTGTATTATGGCTTCGAGCGACAGCGACGCAAGATGGCAGCCACCACGGGCTCGGACGATTTATGAAAACCGAATATACAGCCTTAAAATAGAATGTGGACCTAAATACCCAGAAGCACCCCCCTTTGTAAGATTTGTAACAAAAATTAATATGAATGGAGTTAATAGTTCTAATGGAGTGGTGGACCCAAGAGCCATATCAGTGCTAGCAAAATGGCAGAATTCATATAGTATCAAAGTTGTCCTGCAGGAGCTCCGGCGCCTAATGATGTCTAAAGAAAATATGAAACTCCCTCAGCCACCTGAAGGACAGTGTTACAGCAATTAATCAAAAGGAAAACCACAGGCCCACCCCTTCCCCTATTCGATTTAAGCAGTCTTCATTTTCCACAGTAGTAAATTTTCTAGATACGTCTTGTAGACTTCAAAGTACTGGAAAGGAAGCTCCCATTCAAAGGCAATTTATCTTAAGATACTGTAAATGATACTAATTTTGTCCATTTGAAATATATAAGTTGTGCTATAACAAATCATCCTGTCAAGTAACCACTGTCCACATAGGTGAACTTCTGGGATCAAGAAAGCATATTTAAATTGATTCCCATCACAACCGGTGGGGCACATCTAACTCAACTGTGAAAAGACACATCACACAATCACCTTGCTGCTGATTACACGGCCTGAGGTCTCTGCCTTCTCCCCTTCCCCTCCCTTCGCCCTCTCCTTCCCTGCAACAGCCCTCCAGCTTGGGGTGGCTTATTAGAGTAGATGTGAAGGTTTCAGGTCACAGCCTGTGGGACTACTGCTGGGTGTGTGGGGGTGCTTCGTCTGCACCCCTGGTTTCTTTCTTTAAGTCTTAAATGATGTCCCCCTTCCAAGCCATCATCATCCTTTCCCCACTCTCTACCACCACCCTTGGCCGAAGCATAGATTGTAACCCCCCTCTGCTCCCCTCTGAAATTGGCCTTTGGTGAGGAATTCAGGGCTTTCCCCATATTTTCTTCCCCTTCCCCCCACCTTTATATCGAGGGGTGCTGCTTTCTTCTTACTCCTCCTCAAGTCCCTTTCTTCATCGTTGCCACCCAACACTTTCTATGACACTCCCTTGCTTTGGCCAGAAGCCATCAGGTAAGGTTGGAAAGAGCCTCTGACCTCCCTTGTTTAGTTTCGGAGCCACATTAATTTACTGTCCACCAGCCTAGGAGATGATTATTGGGTCCTCAGCCTGCCCCCTCTGCTGTCATCAGCTGATAAGTTGTTTTAGCTCAGGAAGGCCACAGGAGACACTTGTAAGCACACATGATCCCTCTGAATGAATTTTCTTCTGTTCCTATAATTGCTTTTGCTTTGACAAATTGAAGTTTAAAAATAGGGCTCTCATTTGGTCATCTTTGCCATCCATTCGGGTCTAGTTTGGAATCTGACAACTGGAACAAAAAGAACCTTGAATTCGGTGCATACTTTGGTTTTGGTGCTGCAGCCTCTCGCGGTCCTCAGGAGGGATTAAGAAAGAACTTGGTGTGCACGGCAGAACCCCGAAATTGGCGGGCTTGATTTCCTGGCTAATTGCTACGATTTTCCACTTTTCTGTTCAGGACCACTAAATGCTGAGATGTGGGTGCATACTGAAATAAAAGCAACTCATTGTGTTGTAAAGGGGTTTTTTTTTTTTTTTTTTGTAATTTAGTGTTTGTGTAAAACCCCCTTTTAAAGCAGCAACTATCAAGTCTGAAAAGCATCTGATGTTTCCATTAATTTTTTTCTGGGGAAAACCTTAGTTGTAAGGATTTAACATCCTGTAAGTAAAGTTTAACATAACAGTATTCCATAAGCAGCCTTTTTATTGTCAGACCATTGCCTGATTTTAATATAATAAAAAAAAAGTGTGCGTTAATATTTAAAAAAAAAATTGTATTATGTTATTAGGAGCCAAGCTTTTCAGCATAAGAGAGATAAAATTAAAGAAATTAGGTAAAAGAACTTTAGTACTAAATTTGAGTTGGGAATATTAGAATAACCTCATAATAGACTTTTTAAAAAAATTTATATTTTGCCTATATCCACTGAAAAATATTAAAACTTATGTTAACCTGGGAGCAAGAAGCAGCCCTGGCTCCCAACTGAGCTTTGACGGGAGAAACAAACAGAACTACTTGGAGAAATGCTGCCTTCAGGCCTGAGGCCCAAGAAGTCTACAGTCTAGAATGTCACATCCTGCCAGAGAGCCAGGAAGCATCACAGATGGTGGGGTCACATAAGAAAGACGTGGGTGCCAACGAAGGAGTTTTCTTTGGCCAAAATGTGAATGTTTGAACATTAAAAAGAATAATCATTTTAAAAAAGAATAATAACTACAAAAAGTTGAAACGTTTAGAATGTCTAAATACTAAAACAAACATACAAAAAACAAGCAAAAACAACTCATCATTTATTTTGGGGTGATACTAAAGAACCAATACTTTTTTCTGAAAACTTGTAAATAATGGCGATGAATCAGGCATTTATCCTGTCTTTGTGTTATAAACTGTAGCCCAGAGTAATCAAATAGTTGATGAAAGAAATTTCTTTTTTTTTAAATTGAGGAATTTCTGCTTATTGTCCAAAATAAAGAAGAAATTATAGAATATTGCCATTTAGCAACCTTTAATGAAAGAATAGATTAAAGCAATAATGGTTGCTAAAACAAATAGATAAATAGCTGATGTGGAACAGCTAGATCAATATGACAACAGCAATACCCACTGGTTAATCTTAACCTCATAAAAAGAGACAGTGCTTCCTCATTTGGTGCAATGGGAAGTCCATAACTATGACATTGTCTTGCCAAAGAAATCAAGCATGGAAGTCTTCAAACCTCTAGATATAACTACAGTTTACAGACAATACAGGGGTACAAAGGAGTATGTCAGTGACGTGGTGGTAGGCAGAATAATGGTCCCCAAAAGTGTCCACTCTCCTGTGATGTGCCCTGAAACTTACATGGCAAAACAGGATTTGAAGATGTGATTAAGGCTGTAGACTTTGAGTCTTAAAAGCAGAGAACCTCTTCCAGGGTTGTCAGAGGGAAGCAATGTGAGGGTTCGGCTTGCTGTGCTGGTTTTAAAGATGAGGAAGAGTCCAGGAGCAAAGGAATGTTGGTGGCCTTTAGAATCAGGGAATGGCTCTCAGCTGACAACCAGGAAGGAAATAGGCATTCTGGCATATACCACTAGGCACTGAATTCTACCAACCACTGAATCAGTGAGAAAACAAGCTTCCAGGAAAGAAGGCTGCCAACCAATGGTGTGACTTTAGCCTGATGAGACCTGAACAAGGCTTCTGACCTCTGGAACTGTAAGGGAATACATTTGATTTGATTAAACCACTAAGTTTAAAGTCAAATGTAAACCACTGCAGTCACTTTTTTTCTAGGTAAAATAGAAAAATGAAGGGGACTGGAATGAGTGCTGGCTCTTTTAATTCCCTGGAAGTCACTTACAGAAAGGGGGCTGCACTTGCAAAAATCAAGGGAGGTAAAACAACAATAGTGGCCCACTTCTTTGTCTCCACTCCTGTGATCAGAAAAAACAATTAATAATAAAAACAGATCCCCAACTGTTGGAGTACCAGGTCTTTTTGCCCACCCTCACACCCACAAACTGCATATAAACTGCAGTTTGTAATACACACCAGCTGCCTCTCATGTGGCTGGGGGTGGAGGATTGATGGGTAGCTACTACTATGCTAAGAGTTGAAACTGACCAAAATTAACTGCAATCTCTCATCCAAGCCTTCCCCTGGAAATTGCAAGCTTTCAATAGACTCCAGAGTTCCAAAATAGTTAAGTCAGAAGATTCTGCAAGGGTATTGTCTAGGTGGGGAGACAGCTTCCTGGTGCTTCATACTCTGCCATCTTCCCAGAATCCATGTTTGATTCTTTTTTATAGTTTCCAAATCTTTTTTGATATTATTTTGTTCATACATCATTTTTCTTATATTGTTTAGTTGTCTATGTTCTTTTGTGTGCACCAAATTTCTTTAAGATGACTATCTTGAATTCTTTATGAGGCAGTTCGTAGATCATTTTTTTCAGCATCAATTTCTGGGTATTTATTTTGTTCCTCTGATTTGGTCATGTTTCCCTGTTTCTCCATGTGCTTTTTTAAAATTTTCAGTCTTTACAGACTGGCTTTGTATAGGGGAAAGATGTTCACCAATTAGAACAGCTAGAGGTCCTGGGAGACTCTCAAACCTTTTCTGGGGATATGTTTTCTCTGGGCTTCCATGGTAATCTCCCAATCAGATGTTTGCTGCTTTCATTTTTAGAAGATCATAATCTCTTGCTCTCTATGGTGTCTCTCTGTCCTGCTGAAAGTTTTCTGTAGCTGCAACAAACTTCTGTGCTCTTTGTTCTCCACAGCCCCCTGGGGAATCCAAAGTATGCTTGTTCTGTCAGTGTTGCAAATCAGGACAAACAGAAACCACTCCCTCTGAAAAGCTGGAATGACGGACACATCCTCCCTCTTGTCTTTCCTTCCTGTTGGAGAAGCTGGATGCTGGGTGCTTTCACCTTATTGTACTAAACTGTGCTGTTTGGGGAAAAGGACCAAGGGAATTGAAATTAAAGTTTTTCTTTACCCATTTTAAGTTATCTATTCTTATCTTTGAGGCTGTCTCATATGCTCTGACTTCTGAAGTGGTATCTGCAGTCCTCGTCAAGGCTTTTTTGACTATGTATTGTTGTTCAGTTAGTATCACTGTGGGGAAAAGAGTCCTGGGGTTCTGATTCTGCCACCTCCCTGATGTAATTCCCTTGTGGTAGCTTCTAATGACAACAATAGAAATGAATTGAACATCAAAAGGATGCAGTGAGTAAAATCCATGAGAAACTAAATGACAAGTGACACCTACGAAGGAGTCACCTTACTTCCTTCACTCTGGACAGAGAAATGAACCAGCCAGCATATAACATATGGTGTTGGCCAATGTGCTAGTGGTCTTATTCTCTGAATTCTGGTGATGGCAATCTTGTTGGGGAGACACAATGCCACCAGTTGTTATAGCTACTTGGTGATACGTTCCCTGATGAGAGGGGAGAAAGGGAGCACTTTGTGAACAGTTGCAGGCCAGGAGATGCACTTTGAGAGGGTGGAATTTGATCTGGCCACTGAAGGACACCAACAGGTGTGTAGGAGTGAGAAGCACATTCAAGGTTTGGATGAGGGAGTAGGGAGTGCTTTTTTATGTATGTGGTGAAATAAAATAACATAAAATGTACCATTTTAACCATTTTTTTAAAGTGGCTACTTTAGTGGCATTAAGTAGGTTATTTTTTTATTTTATTTTTTTAGCAAGAAGTGATTTTATTTTGGGAAAGACAATCTGGTGTTGTCTTTTTCAATGACTAAAGGCCTAAAATACGTTTAGAGGG